AGCAGCAGTAACAACGTGGTCAACAGGCAGCTTGGCTGTTCTCTGCACCTGGAACGTTGTTTATGCATTTCTTCTTGTAGCTGCTACACACAACTGAGCAGAGATCAGCACCTTTGGGATGAAAAAGAAAAAAAAATGTAAAAAGTGCAGTAGATAAAACCCTGGAAGAGCTTGGAGTCGGTCCTGCTGATGTTGATGCAGAGGTGTAGGCAGCTGCTGCTGCAGTATGCTCCCCCCCAGGATTGGAGGAAAGACCTTGTTTTCGCTGTCGCCTTCTAGACCGTTTTGCTGCCTGCCTTCCATATTTCATGTAAAAGCAGTAGTTACACGGCGAGCTTTTCTTCAGGGTTAAATTATCCACAGACAGTTTGTCAGTTTGCTTTCACCTAAGAATCACTCTTGAGCGTAAGAGCAGACGCGTTTTGGAGCAGTTTTCCTCAATGTTTTGCTGGTGGATGTCTGAAATATTTTCTTTTTTTTTTTTGGCCCTGTGTCCATAACCCCTTGATGCTGTATGATGAAAGCAGTATTTTATTTTACCGCTGTTTTGCCGAGGCATAGTTCTGTCGTTGGCCTGATTTGGGAGCTGCGATGTGCATCCGTGTGTATGTCCTGTGACGAGAGCCATCAGGAATTCTTGGCGTTTGCGAAGCGCAGGTGGGGCAAAGGGAGACGGTGCGAAGAGCTGGCGAAGCCTGGTTTAACTTCGGCGTTTACCCTGATGGAGAGCCACTCATCTCCTCCGATTCATTCGCATGTGAGCCCTGGACACAGCGGTCGTGACCTTGCTCTGTGTCCCTCCCCTGACACATCAGGGTGGGAAATGCCTGAATTAGAGACGAGAAAGCCTCATTCCAGAGAGCTCTCCTCTCTCCTGGCGCTGTGGCCAACGGCACTCAGGTGTTACAAGAGCAATTGCTGGCTCCTGGCGCTTCCCTCCTTAAGTCACCGTGTTAATTATTGCACATAGTTTACTGTGACCTTGATGTAACTTCCAGCCTTGTTTTAGTTGCTGATGAATTAAATGGATCTTCAGTAGTTAAGATGCAAATTAGCACTTTCCCCAGCTGTATCCTGAAGATTGGCAAAATTCTCGGTCCTTTCCAGACGACTCCTGTGTTCAAATTGTTAGAGATTAAATAATACGGTGTGTATGTCCAGAGTCTCACTTCACGGGATAGTTAAGCATGTGCCTGTTGTCATAATCGTGAATGATTTCGGGAAAGTCACATTCCTCCGTGCTGAAGTAACTTGGAAGATCTGGCTATGAGTGGTTCGTTGCGGTAACTCCTTGCGTTTGCCTCTCATGTTATCCCCTTCATTTGCTTTTACAGTTTGCGAGATATTAAAAAAAAAAAAAATAAGAACAAACCTCCATGGAAAGCGAAAGAAAATCGGGTTTGTATTCTGTAGAAGCACCGTCGGAAAAATGAACGCCTGTTTCTGAATCCTGTGGGCTCCCCAGAATTATATTTTGTTGTTACCATTTGAGAAGTGAGTGGAAAAAAAAAAAATAAATATTTCAACAGCCTATTTAATGTGGCGTTGCTCTGTGCCAAGCTCTCGGTCCTGACTTGCACAGAATAAGCAGTTCAGGGACTCATGCGGTGCTGGCTTCAAAAAAAAAAGGTGACCACAGGGACAGCAGCAATAGCGGGTGGGTGGGTGGAGGGGGAATTCCTTTCGGCTGTGTCGAGCCACGTACATTTTTGAGACTGTACTTCTGTCTGAAAAATATTAATGCTCCTCTTGCGGTTTCTTCTCCCTTTTCGGGGAGCTACAGGCGGAGGTAAAACGGTATTTAGGTGAAGGATAGCGCAGACCATGGTAAAAGTAGCTGCAGAGAGAAGAAATGTTCTCTCTGACTCATGAAAAATGGGGACATGTAGAAAATCCCCCCATAACTACCAGCTTTTCACTGCGTTTTTCCACAGCCTGCAGCATTGTACCATCTCCCTGTAAAAGCAGATAAACAGGAGGCGGCTGTCTGAATTGAAAGGATGCTGGCTTTACGCTGGTGCTTCTGATTATTTAGAAATCTCTCTTGCTTTTGTTCCAGTTGTTGGATTGAGGATCGGTGGAAACTTTCACAATGGAAAATCCCAAGGCTTGGCAGGAGATGCAGTTTGGGAGGCTGGTTTGTTGCAGGGTTCACTTCTTAAATTTTCCAAATCAGACCCAGGACAGGTTTTGCCACCTCCTGAGTTATATGCACCAGAGATTGTAGATTCCAGGAGCGTTGAGATTGTTGGAGAAAGATATTTCCTGTTTTGCTGAAGCGTATAGTTTTTGCTTTGAATACGGATCCTGTGAACACAGAGCTCGGATGCGTGTCTTTGCACGGTTCCTCTGTGCTGGCGTTCTGAGAAGGTTATTGATGACCAGAGCGATCGATACCTACAGATGCAGACGGTCGGTGTTGAAATGCTTGCCGAATTGTGTTGCTGTGCAGAGCTCGCTTTTCTTTGGAGCCTTGTCTTTTTTTTTTTTTTTTTTCCCCTTCAGCCTCCCCTGGTCCAGATGTAAAGCGGGTGGGAGATGATACCAAAGCTAATTAAAAATAATGATGCCTATTGCAACTGGAGGTGACTTTCTGTGCAACCAAGACACCTTCTGGGGAAAAAAAAAAAAAAGCACTGAGCTCACAGTCAGGGAGCTCTCGGAGGTGGTGGTGATGTGATAGATCCCGTTGGTGGCACCAGTAGCCCAGTAAATACCGCACTGGTCCAGTTTAGAGTGAACCTCCTTGCTTTTCCTCTCTCTCTCTGCAGGGCAGGGCTGAGCGATTGCAGTAGGGCAAAGTCTCTTGCTGGCTTCTCGTTGGGTGAGACCATCCCAGGACTCCTGAAAACTTTATCACGCTGCCACGTGCAACAGGGTCTTCAGTGAATGGGGGAGACCTGGCAGGTATGGGAAGAGAGCGAGCAAACAGCGTCGTGCTGATGTTCTCCACCTCTTCGACTTCAGCACTGACTCCGTTATTGCTTTTTATCTTGGGTGTGGAAGATCCTCAGAAGTCTCTTGCAATCAGCCGTTCACTGGTTTGAACTGGTGCTCAACCCTCCTGAAAATCTAGACCTTAGATCTTCAGGTATGGTCAAAAAAATAGCGTATGGGTTGCTGTTTCCAAGAAAACTTGGAATAACACTCGTCTCTTCGCCCGACACTCCCCTCGCAACCTGAAACTGCCCTTTGTGTTGCCCAAACCTGCCTCTCTTGCCTGTATCGCCTGCTCTGAACCGTCCGGTAACGCTGCACCCTCGGCACCTCGTCCGTAAGGCACCCAAATCCCGCAGGATGCTGCTTGGGTCTTTGCTCCGAGCTTTGCTGTTGGATGCTTGGCCAGCTTTGGCCAAGCTTTCCCAGTCCGGTGAGGTGACCTCTTACCGCGCGCTGCTGTCTCCAAAAGGAAAATGTGTGTGTTTGTGTGTGTGTGTCAGTTCTCCGCAGACCACGCTCTGTGTCCCGTGTCAGCCTCATCCTGTTCCTGTCTCGTTCGGTGTCCGTTTCTCTCGCCTACAAATAAAGCGTTTGTGCAAAGCCTGGGCTAGGAACTCCTTCTTTCCCTTCAGCTGCCGTACTCGCGCTCCTCGGAGCGGCCTGTGGAGGACGGCTGGTGAGCCGACAGTTCCTTGGACATCCCCAGGCCAAGCTTTGGGTTTTTCTGGTGATTCATGGAAGCCTCTCGTCATCCGAAATACTCCCCCATCCCTTCTACCTCCTGTGAGGAGGAGGGGGAGGATGCTTTAGCCGCAGCTTTTGCTTTTTCTCCTCCTCTCCGTGACCGATGGTTCCCATATGTACAGAAACATCTGAAAGTAATAAACCATGGCGCTCTGGCTCTTAAGTAACCTGTGCTGGGTTGGACCGTCTGTTTTAGAATGCCGGGGTTGTTCCTAGCTGAAGAGCGGGAATTTGGGGAAATTTGCTCTGAAATTTTGTAGCCTGTTTTATATTCAAGCCGGCTTAACAGAGCCCAAAAGCCCCAGGAGCGATAAATGCACGTTTTTGAACCCGAAGCGCGCAGGAGAGCCCTGGGAGAAGTCTGCCTGGGGTTTCTGTCCTTCTCCCTTAATTTTTGTCCTTTAAGCAAAAGGTGACGGGGTGACCTGGACCCCCTAAATGTCACATAGATGAGGCCGGATGGATGCAGAATCGGGGTGTTCCTTGACCCTTGATTCAGCGGGGCTCTCTCTCCTCGCAAGCACCCGGGGAGAGCAGCGCGGGCTCCCCGCCTGATCTCCAGGCGCTGCCGGAGAGCCCTGCCGCCTCTTTTTGCCTTCCAGTCACGCAGGTGCTGCGGTCGGGCTGGAGAAAGGGAGCTTGTCTGCGCGGCCCCGGGGGAGCTGCGCTGGCGTAAGCGTGGTCTGAGCACGGGCGGGCTGGGGGCTGCGAGGGGCTGGAAGGCAGCGGCTGCCTTCTTCCTTCCCCAAGGTCCCTCTTACAGCGCCTACCCCGCAGAAAACCCCACCACCATTTTGGGGTGCAGAGGGGGGGACCCGTGCTGTTGTCGGGACGAGAGCGGAGTGTGGGGCTGCGCAATCAGGCCCAAAATGCAGCCAGGCACTGCAGCAGGTTGAGCTGAGGAAGGATAGTGTATCGTCTGTGTTCTGGTCCTCTGTGGTCGTTCTGTTCACTCTGAAGCCTACTGATTACTGTAGAAAAGTTATATCACTAGCTGCCGGTCCTTCTAGCAGAGAGACTTCATCTAGGGCTGGAGGAGGGGCTTGAGGGTGTGTTTAGGGCCCAGGCTGGAATCGGGTGGGGGGACGCAGACACATACACACCCCCACCTCATCCCATCGGGTACCACACCAAGGTGTTTCCCTCAGACTCCAGTTTAGCGTCTTTTGACTTTATTTTCACTGGATTCGGCTGTGGTTGAGCAAGTGCCCTGCCCCCCAATAGCACCCCGTCCCCCTGCCACCCCCTTCCCTCCCTCCTCTTGCCACAGCCTTGGGGGACACCCATGGGTGTCACGTTCTTCAGCCCACGGCAGCTCAGTCTCGTGGGTCGGCGCTGCACGGCCGCCGAAACTCCTGCCCGTGCTCATGGATCCATTTATTTGCCACTGGAAGGGACAAGGACAAGGACACCCATTTAGCTCCTCCGGCCCCCCTGCACCCCTCTCCGCCCCCGCTCCGCTATCAGTGCCATATTTTTCCCTATTAGCCAGGATTTTTCTGGGTTCCCAGCACCTCTCGTCTCCCCCACCAACAGAGCTGCTCCTCCAACCCCATGTCACCCCAGGGTGACACCGGGCACCGTCTCTCACCCCACTTGTCCCCGGCCAGGACGGGGCAGCCAGCATGCAGGGTGTCCCCGTCACCGTCCCCATTCCTCCGTAGGTTCCACCAGAAGAGAGCTGCGTTCTGTGGAGCAGAGAGGGGTTTGGCACCCCTAAAATGGAACCAGGAGCCCCAGAATTGGGGTTTGGAACCACAAAATAAAGGTGAGAGCCCTGGGATTGGGGGTTGGTACCCCTAAAACAGAGTCAGGAGCCCCAGAATTGGGGTTTGGAACCCCAAAACAGAGCTGGGAGCCCTGGGGTTGGAGTTTGGCACCCCAAAATAAAGCTGGGAGCTGTGGGGTGTGATACCCCTAAAACAGAGCTGGGAGACCTTGCGTTGGGTTTGGTACCCCTAAAACTGAGCAAGGACCCCCAGAATTGGGATTTTTCACCCCAAAACAGAGCCAGGAACCCAAGGGCTGGGGTGTGACACCCCTAAAACAGAGCTGGGAGTCCTGAGGTTGGAGTTTTGGCACCCCAAAATAAGAGTTGGGATCCCCGAGGTTGGATTTTGGCATCCCAAAACGCAGACAGGAGCCCCACAGTTAGGGTTTGGCACCCCAAAGCAGAGTCTGCAGCTCTAGGGTTGGGGTTTGGCACCCCAAAAACACCGGGGGGGC